TGCATGTTTTGTATTTTGAGAAAATGACAAGCTATTTTCCACAGTATCTATACCATTTTATATTCCCACCAGCAGTGTATGAGTGATCCAGTTTCTTTGCATCCCCGCCAGCGTTTCATGTTGTCATTGTTTTATTTTTTATTATTTTTAAAATAAATAATTTATTTATTTTTGGCTGCGTTGGGTTTTCATTGCTGTGCGTGGGCTTTCTCTAGTTGCGGCGAGCTGGGGGCACATCACTCCAGTCTTTGCCTCCATCTCAATATGGCTTCTCCTGTGTGTTTGTGTCAGATCTCCCTTTGCCTCTCGTATAAAGACACTTGTGACATTTAGGACCCACCTGGATAATTCCAGCTAATTTCCTCATCCCCAAATCTTTAACAATAATCAGATCTGTTACAGTATGAGGTGATATTAACTTGTTCTGGGAATTAGGAAGTGAATGTATCTTTGGATGGCCATTACCCAGTTTACTATAGTCTATGATGTGTTTTGAGTTATTTTTTTTTTTTTTTTTTTTTTTTTTTTTGAGCACAGGCTCCGGACGCGCAGGCTCAGCGGCCATGGCTCACGGGCCTAGCTGCTCCGTGGCTTGTGGGATCTTCCCGGACCGGGGCACGAACCCGTGTTCCCTGCATCGGCAGGCATACTCTCAACCACTGCGCCACCAGGGAAGCCGTGTTTGGGTTTTTGTTAGTTCTTTGGTGACAGTGTTCTACGGGTAGTTAGTCTACCCTCACCATTTTTTCCCCACAAGCCCTGTAAGTTTTAGTGTGCAGTTTTGCAGAATGTGTCGTTTCTCAGTATTGTATTTATTGCATTATCAGAAATGCCTAGGGTTCAAAAAGCAAATAGTTTAGTAGCCAGAAGATGAAATTCTAGGTTATAAGTCACTTTCCCTCAGAACTTTGAACACATCATTCTGTTGTTTTGTCATCTGTTTGTTATTGCTGATGAGTTTGATGCTAATCTGATTCTCTTTCCTTAGTACGTGATCTGTTTTTTATTCCCTCTCTGGAAGCTATTAGAAGTGAAAAAATAATTATTTAAGATTTTCTAGTGATCCGGATGAAGATCTTTCAGAAATTCATTGTACTGGTCATTTGGTTGTCTCTTATTTTGCAGACGTATTTTTTTAGCTCTGGAAATTTTCTAGCGATTTTTTTTTTTTTGGTTTGTTTCTAAGCCCAGTTAGAAGATTAGTTTAGCTATTTTTATAACAGTTTAAACATATTTACCCTTGTTTTTACTCCTAATTGAAAAAAATTAAGTGTAGTATTCCTGACAGAAAAGTGCCCCATCATAAAAGCTCAGTGAATTTTTTTCAAACTGAGCACACCTATGTGTTCAACGCCCATATCAAGCAATATGAACTCCATTACCAGCATTTCAGAAACTCCTCACTTCTCCAAGGAGTGTATCCCACTTCTTCCAGGACACCACTATTTTGACTTTTAACAATATAGTTTTACCTGCTCTTTGATCTTTATAAAAATAGAATCATACACCACTGTAGGGCAATTATACTCCAATAGAGATGTAAAAAAAAATAGAATCATGCAGCTTGTAGTCTTTTGCGTTTGGCTTCCAAAGCTTAACATTATACATCCAAATTCATTCTTGTTACGGTATACTATAGTTTTAATTTTGTGGATATGCTGTCATTGTTTATGCATTTTTCTGTTGATGGACATTTGTATGGTTTTCAGCTTTTGGCTATTACAAATAGTGTGGCAATGAACTTTCTAGGAAATTTCTTCTGGTGAGATATGCAAGTCAGTTGGATATATACTTTGGAGTGGAATTACCGGGCTATATTAGCTACTGCCAAATGGTTGTATTAATTTTCAAAATGGTTGTATCAGTTTACACTTTTATAGCATTGAATGCAAGTTTAGGTTGGTTTCACATCCTCCTCAACACTTGGTATTTTCCACCTTTTTCATTTTGGTCATTCTGGTGGGTATGTAGTGTTATCATATACTATTTTAGGTATTGAATAAGTGGGCTTTGAAATTGTGGTTTATTTTATCTACTCCCCCTAAATACAGCTTATGTTTGTACACCCAGGTTTCAAAAAATCTTTTAATATTCTGTGTTTATATTTTACTTGTAATTGTTAAATTAGCCAGCATATTGACTACCTGCTAATAGTTACTAACCTTCATTTCGTTCACTCAAGCTCCATCAATTTTATGCATGGTTATCTCTATGTAATGAATTTTGTTGGTGCGAACTTTGTTGACAGTTTCAATTTTTATTTAAAGAGAAAGGTTTAGCTTAATAGTTTGGTGATAGTTTTACCTTTATCTCTTTAATTACTGTTTTCTCTTTGGTAGTTTATTAGACTTGGCTTCTATAACATTACTTACTCTTGGTTCTTCTGTTTCTTTGAACCTTCCTTTAATGTTTATATCTCTCTAGATTGTTTCTTTAGTGTTCTTCTTACCTTATCTGCTCTCCATATTCTTCCCCCCCATTTTCAGATCCATTTTTCCACTTGTTTACTGGATAACACGCATTGAGCTTTTTGTAGGTACTTTATTTTTTTAATACATTTATTGATTGATTGATTGATTGATGACTGTTGGGTCATCGTTGCTGCACTTGGGCTTTCCCTAGTTGTGGCGGGCGGGGGCCAGTCCTTGTTGTGGTGCACAGGCTTCTCCCGTTGCGGAGCACAGGCTCCAGGCGCGTGGGCTTCAGTAGTTGTGGCACATGTGCCTAGCTGCTCCTCGGCATGTGGGATCCTCCCAGACCAGGGCTTGAACCTGTGTCCCCTGCATTGGCAGGCAGATTCTTAACCACTGCGCCGCAAGGGAAGCCCTGTAGGTACTTTAAACTTGCGTTTTCCTGTCAAACCACCTCTTCCAGTATTTCTCAGTTTGGTTAATACAGTCACCTTTTACTCAGTCTTCTAAATTAGAAATGCTTTTCTTTCTCATTTTCTCACAAGTAATTGTCAGAAAATTATATTTTATTTTTTAACCTAGGATGCCCCCTTCATACAGTCATTGAGAATTATGTCTCTAAAATAGAGACCCTCTGTCCCTCCTTCCTACTCCTCCCTTAATGTAGACCATATCGTGATCTAGACTGTTGTTCCAGTTAGTCTTGTGGGGTTTTTTGTCTGACTCTTCTTTCTTCTTTTTTTCCTTTTTACAGTCCCCCTGATTAAAGAATGCAAACACTGAGTGAAACAAAGAATTTAAATTAAAAATGTATTACTCAAAATTTACAAAACATATAAACAGAATTTCAGTTTTTAATTTAAACAATTAAACTTAAAAATGATGGTCTTTGTAACTTTGTGGTATTTATACTTGTGAAGTTATTAAAGCTCAAAATGGCATTCAGAGTTTTGGGACACCCTCACTAAGGATTTTGTTAAGTATTGACAAATTGCTATTCAGAAATGTAGAGCACGGGGCTTCCCTGGTGGTTCAGTGGTTGAGAGTCTGCCTGCTAATGCAGGGGATGCGGGTTCGAGCCGTGGTCTGGGAGGATCCCACATGCCGTAGAGCAGCTGGGCCTATGGGCCACAACTACTGAGGCTGCGCGTCTGGAGCCTGTGCTCTGCAGCAAGAGAGGCCCGTGCACTGCGATGAAGAGTGGCCCCCGCTTGCCACAACTGGAGAAGGCCCTTGTACAGAAATGAAGACCCAACACAGCCCAAAATAAGTAAATAAATTTAAAAAAAAGAAATGTAGAGCACTCATTTCTTTATGTCTCCTTTAACACTGGATATTATTATTATTTTTTAAAACTAGTGTTTTGACAACTGAAAAATGTATTTGTCTTGTTTACTTTGCATTTCTTTGACTCCTGGTTATGATGAATATTTTCCATGTTTTAAAGTATTGGTGATCACTTCTAATGCTACCTTAGTGATATTAGCTACTATTTATCAAGCACTTTCCTGACTCAAAAATAACTGTCATGACCATTTTATTACATTACCTATCTTAATCCTGTGAACAACCCTATCAAGTGTAGATGCTTATTGTATGTGTGAGGAAACTGATTTTAAAGGAGAGTGACTTGCTCAGCGCATGGTTAGTAAACTCAGTGTGATCTGTTATCACACTATTACCTCGCAACATTTTTGTTAGTATAGATGTGGAAGATTAGTATATTTGTATTTATAGGGGGTTGAATTAAATGTATAATTATTCTAGAGCCCAGGTACAGATGGCTGTGATTTTTTTTTTTTTTTTTTTTTGCGGTACGCGGGCCTCTCACTGTTGTGGCCTCTCCTGTTGCGGAGCACAGGCTCTGGACGCGCAGGCTCAGCGGCAATGGCTCACGGGCCCAGCTGCTCCGCGGCATGTGGGATCTTCCCGGACCGGGGCACGAACCCGTGTCCCCTGCATTAGCAGGTGGACTCTCAACCACTGCGCCACCAGGGAAGCCCAGGATTCTTAAGTATTTCTCAAATTATGTTCCATTGCACACTGTTGTGGAAATTTTCATATATCCTGTTTGGGCAACACTTGGTTTCCTTAGCAGAGAAACCTTAATAACTTTGAATAATCCTTGAATTTCTGAAATCAGTTTCTGTAGGAGACCTATTCACATCTTGTAGAACAACATCTTGAAGTACATCAGTTTGAGACAAAGCTGATGTGTGGTCCATTCTCTCATTTTGTAAGGGGAGGAAATGGAGATCCATTGTGGTTAAGTGTGTTGCCTGAAAATCACACAGCTGCTAAACAACACAGGATAAGATCCAGTCATTCCTTTGTACCATGCTTCCCCTGATAATGTTATATAATATTTATTTTTCCTGTATTATGTTAAAAGTAGTTTCTTTAGTATTCCCATCTAGTCCAGACATTAGTCTTACACTGAGAAATTCATATACAGTTTTAAGAAAATTCTAGATTTATGTACATACAAATAGCCTAGCATGATTACTTACCCATAACTGCTGTGTTTAATCATCGAAATGAAAAGAGTACTTTTTTCTGTAGTTAACCTGTCACAAATGTGTGGTTTAGTTTCTGTAGAAAATGTTTCCTGACTGCAATGAGAGAAAGCGGAATACATTGTCCTCTGTGTCGTGGAAATGTGACTAGAAGAGAGAGAGCATGTCCTGAACGGGCCTTAGACCTTGAAAATATCATGAGGAGGTTTTCTGGTAGCTGCAGATGCTGTGCAAAACAGGTAGAGTAAATGTGACATAGTTCTTTGAAAGTCAAGTTTCTACTCTGAAATTTCTGTTTGACTTGTCTTGGTGGGTACTGTTTTGAAGAGAAATTATTTAGGTTGGGAATTGGGTAGAAAAGGCCAGAAAAGCTGTGGCTATAGATCTTACTAGATTATAAACTTACTGAGAACAGAGACCGAAAGATAGATACAGTCTCTGAATTTGTCATAATTTTTAACGTGGCATTTTTTTCGAAATAATCACTCGTTGATTACCTGCTAAATGAACTGAAAGAACAGACTGGCATTTAACTCATTGAAGCCCCATTCTGGTACAGATTAAGCCCTTGAATAGTTTTTCTGGTGGTAGTATCATTATTGCAATTTTGCAGGTAGAAGTGGGCCAAATGGATTTATGTAGTCAAGGGGGAACTCTCTAGCTGCCCACTGTACTTAGATGTTTATGTATTTATCTAAGAAATCACAAAATACTTGGTAGAAGACTTTGCTTTTTAAGGAACAGGTGTGAAAAATCAGGTATTGGCAAATAACTGGCATTAATTCTCCATTCTGGATTTTATTCTACCGTTTGGAGAGGGATTGAAATGGTGAGAGGTGGTTAGGCTTTGAGTATATTTGTTTATTATGGATTTATCACAGTCACTTTTTCAAACAGCTAATAAAGTCAGTGAGCAAAAAAAAAACAGTTGCTGTTTCATGCATTCACACAAGGCATATCTGCTTTTCCATCTCTTTGAGGGAGGTGTCAACTGACAGGGCAATGAAGTGAAGCTGGAAAATACACTTGAGAGATTTCTGGCTCTACTCCTCAGAGAGAAACTGAAAAATGTTCCAAGTGTTAACTTGGGAACTTAGTTTTTTAAAGCACTTTCTAACTCTGCCAGGTTGCAGTAGTTAAAGAAATAAAAAGATGCCCAGTGCTATGAGGCAACCTCTTAATACTTTTAATATTATTTTTTGTCTATTAGTGGTATGTTTTTTTCAGGTGTAAAATTATTTGTTAATTTTTATGGTGAGTTTACAGACAGTTGGACTTATCTCCATTGTCTCTGCATCTGATGGACAGAAACTTACTGCTTATTTTCAGCTCCTACTTAAGAATTAAATCATTTACTTAAAAAGAAAAAAACAAAGACCTCTTGTTTAAATGGAATATTTTGTTATCTATTTCTGCCTTGTTTTTTTCCTTCTTGTTGGCAATATCTCAAGTCTTATGAGTTCCTTTTTATATTGAAAGTCATATTACATTAAAAATTTTTTAAATGTTTTATTGTAAAATATATATAATGTAAAACGTACCTTTCTTTTAGTTTTATTTTTTTTATAAGTGAAAGATTGTGGTAAACTTTTTTACTACAATAAATGTCCATTTAGTAAGAAAACATGATATGTATATACATACACACAATCTGTATGAGGCATCAAATGAACAATTAGAGTGCAGTATCATGAGTGGTAAGGTAGAAATGTACCATTTTTAAGTGTACAATACAGTGGTATTAAGTACATTCATAACATTGTATAGCAATCACCACTATCTATTTCCAGAATTTTTTCATCATCCCAAACAGAAACTCTGTACCTGTTATATTTGTTCTTTTTGAAAGTCACATTACATTTAATCAATAATTTACAGATTAAATTCTATCGCATGAGACATCATTACAAATCTTGTAAGAAGTACCAAGATGAATATGGTGTTTCTTCTGTCATTCCAAACTTTCAGATCTCTCAAGATTCAGTAGGGAACAGGTAAGCAATATTTATTCTTAAAGTTTTTATTTTTATAGTTAAAATTGAAATTTTGCAGAGACTGTATAAAGTGTTTTTGTGAATGTGTGGGTGTTTGTGTTTTTAAAGTAAATTGCCTTTGTCCTCATAAGTTTGTTTGACGCATGTAAAATGACATCTGGGAGATTGACTTTATGCTAGACTTAAGCTTATGTTATGTAAAAATCATTCTAAGAAACTTTACATGTCTGAATAAAAAGTAGATCTGTGAATTGAATGTGTTTTCTTTTGCAACTGAAATTACTTGAAAGCTAGAGAAAATCCCTTTCAGTAATGTATTTGCAAACTAGAATCCTTTTACTCTCTAAGAATAGAATTGTTTGAAATTTTTATTTTGATAAAATGTCATGTAAAAGTGAGATTTGGTACGATTAAATTAGTAGTTCTATTTTAGTCTCAATTCTTTTAAAGCTAGGTTTTGGCTTGATTTGTATCTTATTGTCTCAGGTTTATGTACATTAAACATTTTTATGAAATGTATTTTATGGATAAGAATGGCCAGAATGCACATGTGTGGTTTAAAAAATAGTGACAAAACAAATACCTAGTTGCCCACTAAGCCGGGTCAAAAATTATAACATTTTTCAGGACCTTATTTTTTTTTCCATAAATTTATTTTTGGCTGTGTTCGTTGCTGCACGCGGGCTTTTTCTAGTTGCTGTGAGTGGAGGCTGCTCTTTGTTGCAGTGCGTAGGCTTCTCATTGTGGTGGCTTCTTTCGTTGTGGAGCCCGGGCTCTAGGCGCATGGGCTTCAGTAGTTGCGGCACACAGGCTCAGTAGTTGTGGCTCACAGGCTCAAGAGCACCGGCTCAGTAGTTGTGGTGCATGGACTTAGTTGCTCTGCGGCCTATGGAATCTTCCCAGACCAGGGATTGAACCCATGTCCCCTGCATTGTCAGGCGGATTCTCAACCACTGTGCCATCAGGGAAGCCCCTTTTAGGACCTTAGAATCTCCTTGTGAGCCCATGCCAATTTGAACCCCATACTCCCAGAGGTAACCACTATCCTCTTTTTTGGGTTGTTCATTCTTTTGCTTTTCTTTATAGTATTACCACTCACGCATGTATCTCTAAACACTGAAGTGCTTAATTTTTAAAAACTCAGTAGCAAGCACACACCATTCTGTAAAGAAAGGCAGTATTGGCAGCATTATAGAAAGACTCCCAGGAGGCAATATGTTAAGCAGAGTCTTTAAGATTTTATTTTAGTAGCATTTCATTTCACATGTTGCTAATTTTCAGTAATTTAACCACTCTTAGAAGCACTCATACTGTAGTAAGGCTTCTTCTCAACTCCTTAGTTGAAACTGTTCTGGTAAAGGTCTTTAGTAATTTTCTTATTTCCTGCTCTTTTAGGTTCTCGTTTTACTTGACTCAGTGTCATTGGATGAAATTGGTCACTCTTATATTGTGATTTAAAAAAAAATCCCCTTAGGTTCATCCTTTTTGGCTTTTTTATTTCTGTACTTCTGCTGTATTTAAATTACTCAACAATTTGTTATTAACCCAGTAGATTATTCTTAAGTGCAGGGATGGTGTTTGTCTTGTTCAACAATGTGTCTCTAGTTCTTAGCAAAGTTCCTAGTATATATGATTTGCGCAGTCACTGCTTGTTAAATGACTCAGTTTTTTTCTCATGAGACATGCCTTCTTCCCTCTTACCCCCCAGATCTAATTGGTCATAGGTACTATTGATTTCTAATAGCAGTATTCCTCATCTGTGCTTTTCTTCTGCCCCTGTTGTCACTTCCATAGCTCAAGTCCCCATCATCTCTCACTTGAACTGTTGTAGTATTCTTTTAGTTGGTGGTCCTCCTTTAATCTGTCCTGTATACGATTGCCAAAGTGATATTTCAGAGGTGCAACTCTGACCTCTTTCTCCTTGTCCTTGTACCTACGCTTCTGTACCTTGTCAGTGACTTCCTGTGGCCCCATAGCTGTGTTTCTCCTCCTGGGTTCCACGGGCCAGTAAGGGCTCTGTGAACTGCTTAAACTGCCAATTTTTTGTGTGTACTATGTGTGCATTTTTTTCGAGAGAGAATGTCAAGATTCTCAAGGGGTTCCATGATCTAGTTCAACAACAAACTTAATAAGACAAAATCCCTATTCTAAAGCCCTTTCTGATCTGGCACTTACCTTTCCATTTAGCCTTTGTCTTTCTGGGCTACCCATATTGCATAATATGCCTCAGCCATGTTGAATTTTTCCCACTGTATCCTGGCCATCCTTGAGAAGCAATATAACTTAGTCATTAAACATGAAGGCTTGGAGCCAGACTGCTGGGTACGAGGCTCTGTCATTTACTAATTGTATGACTTTGGCAAGAAACTGTACCTCAGTTTTCTCATCTGTTTAAAAAGGTAGTGGTGATACTATTAAACACCTCATTGGTGGGAGTCAATAAGTAGGTTAATAGAAGTAAGATATTGAATAGTACCTTACTTGGTGAATGTTTGGGGGTTTTTTGTTTGCTTTGTTGTTTGTTTGTTTGTTTGTTTTTCCGGCTGTGCAGCGCATCTTGCGGAACCTTAGTTGCCTGACCAGGGACTGAACCCATGCCCTCGGCAGTGAAAGCACGGAGTCCTAACTGCCAGACCGCCAGGGAATTTCCTAAATGTTAGTTTTCAATTATCATCATCATCACCCACTCCCTCACCTCCATACTTTCCCCACCATTCTAACCCACACTTTGCCAGCCAGTGGACTTTTTCTTCTCTTTGAAGACTTAGACCAAGTGTTAGATACTCTGAAGTCTTTCCTGTTTACTTGTCTGTTTTTTTTATCTAGTAGAATGGGCTTCCTAGTCTTATTCATGTTTATATCCTATACAAAATTCTAGTTGCAATGGAAAAATTCAGTTTGTATATGAATTTCTAGTAAGGAAATTGTTGAAGGAAGGAAAAGATTTTTTAAAAAATAGTAGGAAATATAAGAAGCCAGAATGTATAGTCAGGGTCCTGGGAGGAAACAGATAATTATACTCAAATTAGATAATTTGAGGGGAATTTAGTGAAGGACTATTCTTTAATTTTTTATTTTTGTGTGTGAAGGGACTATTTGTAAGGAGTAGAGTATTGGGTGCACTATGTAAGCAGGGTATAGGAAGTCACAAGGAATAGTCATGTCCTCTGGGTCTACTGAAAGCAGGGGAGGGGAGAAAGTAGACACCAGAATTGGAGAAAGAAAGCTATGTGGAGAGGGCAGTTGGAGAGGGATGCAACCAGTCAAGGCAGTTTTGCTGGGAAGGAGTCTGGAAAATAGGTATCCTAACCTTCCTCTTGTTCTTCCTCCAAATCTCCTGCTGGGCTGAACCCATTTGGGAAGCAGAGAAGGGAACCTGTTAATGCAGGTTAGTTTCTCAGTACAAAGAGCATGGTGAAAAATGGAGGAGAGAAGATCTAGAGGGGCGAAAAATATACCCAGCACATAGGATTTCAGTTATTAGCTGAACATATTGTAATACTCTGTACACTGTGCTTCACAGCTTCCAAGTAGTACAAAGAGAAAAACATCCACTATGTTATTAATAGTGTCTATGATATTAGACGTTCACAGAAAGATAGACAAGATGAAAAGGCAGAGGGCTATATACCAGATGAAGGAACAAGATAAAACCCCAGAAAAACAACTAAATGAAGTGGAGATAGGCAACCTTCCAGAAAAAGAATTCAGAATAATGATAGTGAAGATGATCCAGGACCTCGGATAAACAATGGAGGCAAAGATCAAGAAGATGAAAGAAATGTTTAACAAAGATCTAGAAGAATTAAAGAACAAACAGAGATGAACAGTACAATAACTGAAATGAAAAATAACACTAGAAGGAATCAACAGCACAATAACTGAGGCAGAAGAACAGATAAGCGACCTGGAGGACAGAATGGTGGAATTCACTGCTGCAGAACAGAATAAAGAAAAAAGAATGAAAAGAAATGAAGACAGCCTTAAGAGACCTCTGGGACAACATTAAACGCAACAACATTCGCATTATAGGGGTCCCAGGAGAAGAGAGAGATAAAGGACCTGAGAAAATATTTGAAGAGATTATAGTCAAAAACTTCCCTAACATGGGAAAGGAAATAGCCACCCAAGTCCAGGAAGCGCAGAGAGTCCCATACAGGATAAACCCAAGGAGAAACACGCCAAGACACATAGTAATCAAATTGGCAAAAATTAAAGACAAAGAAAAATTATTGAAAGCAGTAAGGGAAAAATGACAAATAACATACAAGGGAACTCCCATAACGTTAACAGCTGATTTCTCAGTAGAAACTGTAAAAGCCAGAAGGGAGTGGCATGATATACTTAAAGTGATGAAAGGGAAGAACCTACAACCAAGAGTACTCTACCTGGCAAGGATCTCATTCAGATTTGATGGAGAAATCAAAAGCTTTACAGACAAGCAAAAGCTAAGAGAATTCAGCACAACCAAACCAGCTCTACAACAAATGCTAAAGGAACTTCTCTAAGTGGGAAACACGAGAGAAGAAAAGGACCTACAAAAACAAACCCAAAGCAATTAAGAAAAATGGTAATAGGAACATACATATCAATAATTACCTTAGGGCTTCCCTGGTGGTGCAGTGGTTGAGAATCTGCCTGCCAATGCAGGGGACACGATTCAAGCCCTGGTCTGGGAAGATCCCACGTGCCCCGGAGCAACTGGGCCCGTGAGCCACAATTACTGAACCTGCGCATCTGGAGACTGCTCCGCAACGGGAGAGGCCACGATAGTGAGAGGCCCGCGCCCAGCGATGAAGAGTGGCCCCCGCTTGCCACAACTAGAGAAAGCCCACGCACAGAAACAAAGACCCAACACAGCCATAAATAAATAATAAATTAATTAATTAAAATTGCAACCTCCCTTTAAAAAAAACAGGAATCAGAAAAAAAAATAAAAATAATAAAAAAATAATAATTACTTTAAACATGACTGGATTAAATGCTCCAGCCAAAAGACA